TTTGTAACAGTAAAGCTATGACCACAATGAGGATGGAGTCATCTTCTGCAAGTTTAATCAATGTGTGGTTCAATGGACAGAGACGGATACAACTAGAACAGGAATTTCTCTACAAATACCCTTTGCAAAGAATTGCTGACGGACAAAGGACCACAGCCATGCAAGACAGCCTGGGGAGGACAGACCTAGGCAAGAGGCAGAAATGACCAGATGATGGCCAGTAATGATAGTCACTGTTATATTAAGAGCGAACTTGAAACGCTGACTTCACACTGCATTCCCAGGTCCCAGTAAGGTGCCTTGACAGTGATTCTCCCAGCTTTATTGATAACGGAAAGGCTGCCAGGAAGGTTTTCATGGTCCAAATGTCAGGGAAATGGCACAGAATATGATCACACACATTACAGACAGACTACAACAGCTGCCCTTATGAGAAGCCAACTGATATCCTATGGTTTGAAATCAAGACAGCCACAGCCAACTGCTTCAGAGCTGTAATCTCAAGCCACACAGAAAGAATGTGGAAACTTCACCAATATGCACCAGTGTGCTTCAGGGTTAGCATGAAGATAACTGTTTGGCTTAGTTGTTCAGCTCTGAATTTTAAAAATGCCTTTGCACCTAGCACAAAAGGAGACAACCTTCTGAACCAAATACAAAGACTTAAAAACTGGTCATCAACCATAAACCATGCAAGGAATTCCTGCAGTCCAGCTACTCAGCTATTAAAAGTCATGTCATCTCCCTTCTCTTCCATTTTATAGACTGCATTAACAACAAACATTTCAGGTCATGCAATTTTATTAACCTGGAATGTCAGCAAATGACCGCAAAACATTCCCTCCTTTTGATTCAACAACAAAAAATAGCTCAAATTTGGGAAGGCTAGAATGATCCCTTGTGTGATCTCAGGGTACTAAGGATTCAGCTCTCCATGTGCTAATCCCAATTGTGCTCTGCAGCACCATACCGGACAGCTCTGCCTGGCTAAAACAAAACAGTAGAATGAAAGAAATAATCATGAACCATAGAAAAATGGGGGGG